CAGAGAGAGAGAGAGAGAGAGAGAGAGAGAATCCCAAGGAGGCCCTGCACTGTCAGCACGGAGCTTAATGTGGGGCTCAAATTCATGAACTGTGAGATCATGGCCTGAGCTGAGATCAAGAGTCAGACACTCAACCAACTACACCGCCCAGGCTCCCCAGAAGTTGTCATTTTAGATGGGATGGCCAGAGACAACCTTACTAAGAAGCTGTCTAGTGAGTAAAAACCTGAAGGATGTACAAGGGACTTAGTCATGAGGACATGGGGGGATAGGGGAAGAAGAGTCATTCCAGATGAGGGAACTGAGAAGCATAAAGGATCTGAAGCATGAACATGCTAGAGAATTTGAGGAATTCTAAGGTGGCCAAGGGGCTAAAGTGGAGTGAAAGGGAGGGAGAGTAGTTGGAGATGATTTCAGAAATAGGACAAGGGTTATGCAGGGATGAGCCACATCATGCCGGGTCTTGTAGGGTTTGGGGTATTACTTGGAGTAAGTTGGGGTGTTGTGGATGTTGCTGATGCTCTGCCTAGATCCCCTTACCTGGGCCAGTACATTTACTCCCAGCCTCTGTGAGTGTGACACACACATGCCCCACCCTCACCCCAGGCAGCTCACAACCAATGACTGACTGCCATAGTGGTACAAAAGGTGGGGCCAACTCTGTGGGACAGGTCATGCTCCTGAGCTCCCTGGGGGGCTGAGGTCCAAGCTTGTTTTCAGTCTAGATTACATCTTTGTATAGCTTTTCTCTCCTAGTCTCTCCTGCTTCCCTCCCTACTACTCTCCAACAGCACTTCCTCAATAGGTCAATTGCCCCCAAATTCCTGCTCTGTTTTAAGCTTTGTTTCTAGGGAACACCACCTCAGATAATTGGTACTGGATGTGGTCCTTGGAAGCAGACCCCAAAAATCAGATTCTCAAACTGTCACACTTCTGCTAGATGGCAACAAGGACCTCAATTGTGGTAAGTGGAAGACTGCTAGTTCCTGGCATTCTATAGCAACATAATTCCGGAGATTTTCACCTATGGTAAACTAGAGTGGAATATACAAGCACACCTCAGAGATATTGCAGGTTTGGTTCCAGACCACTGCAATAAAGTGAGTATTGCAATAAAGCAAGTCAAATGGATTTTTTGGTTTCCCAGTGCATATATATATATATCAATTATGTTTATTAAGTCTATTAAATGTACAATAGCATCATGTCTATAAAAAAAACAACATACATACCTAATTTAAAAATGTTTTTTGGGGCACCATCTGGCTCAGTTGGTAGAGCACCTGACTCTTGATCTCAGGGTTGTGAGTTCAAGCCCCATGTTGGGAGTGGAGCCTACTTAAAAAAAATACTTTTTGCTTAAAAAATGCTAATCATCACCTGAGCTTTCAGTAAGTAGTAATCACTGATCACAGATCACCATAACAAATATAGTAATAGTGAAAAAGTTTGCAATATTGTGAGAATTACCAGTATGTGATACAGACTCACAAAAATGAGCAATGCTGTTAAAAAAAAAATGGCCACGAAAGACTTGCACCATGCAGGTTGCCACAAACCTTCAATTTGTAAAAAATGTGATATCCATGAAGCACAACAAAATGAGGTATGCCTTTAGGTAGAAGGTGATCTACCGCTGGCTTAACGCCTCTGGAATTTGAGAAGTACAAAGAAACAGTAGCTATAAGGACTTCATCATTGCTATACGATGTTTAAGTCTCAGATAAGGATGGTACCTTGGGTTTGTTTTGAATTTGTCAACTCTGCATTAGCCTCATAAGCCTGAGGACTACGGCACAATTGGGGGATGCTGTTCTACTAAACATTTTATAAGATAAAGCAGAAACTACCCAGTGCCACACTTATGACTTCAACATACGCACAAAAATGCATTCTTCTCTGCTGTTTTGCTTAGGATGATTTCTGCTGCAAATAACAGAAACCAACTCAAAATGGGTTAAACAACAAAGATAGGTTTGTGTGTGTGTGTGTATAGGTGGGTGGGGGTAGGTGGGTAGGTTGTTGTTTTTTATTTATTTATTTTTTTAAATTTTTTTATTTAAAAAAAATTTTTTTTAACGTTTATTTATTTTTGTGACAGAGAGACAGAGCATGAACAGGGGAGGAACAGAGAGAGAGGGAGACACAGAATCTGAAACGGGCTCCAGGCTCTGAGCTGTCAGCACAGAGCCCGACGTGGGGCTCGAACTTACGGACCGCGAGATCATGACCTGAGCCGAAGTCGGACGCTTAACCGACCAAGCCACCCAGGCACCCCTGTTGTTTTTTAAGTAGGCTTCACATCCAGTGTTGGAGCCCAATGCCCTGAGATCAAGACCTGAGCTGAGATCAAGAGTCAAATGCTTAACTGGCTAAGCCACCCAGGAACCCCAAACATGGTTTTTATCTAACTAGATACTGGGGGGTTGAGCTGCTCCAAGGTTGGTTTATTTCATGGCTCAGTCGTCAAGTGCCAGGTTGTTTCTATTTTTCCACTCTACTATCAAGAATGTTTTGGGGCGCCTGGGTGGCGCAGTCGGTTAAGCGTCCGACTTCAGCCAGGTCACGATCTCACGGTCCGTGAGTTCGAGCCCCGCGTCAGGCTCTGGGCTGATGGCTCAGAGCCTGGAGCCTGTTTCCGATTCTGTGTCTCCCTCTCTCTCTGCCCCTCCCCCGTTCATGCTCTGTCTCTCTCTGTCCCACAAAGAATGTTTTGGTTTTATCCTTGGTAGGCTTTTCTCATATTCACAGGATGAATCACCACAATTCAGACACAGTGATGGCCACCAGAAGTCTTTCAAAAAGAAGAATTTCCTCATCTTTAAAAAAAAATAATTTAAATGTATATATATTTTTTCTTTTTAACATTTTCTTGTGGAAAATTGCAAACAAAAGTAGTGAGAACAGTATAAGGGAATCTTCATGTGCCCCACATCCCAATTACCAATTATCTACTCTCTGCAAATCCTGTATTTATAGTCCTACCCACTTATCTTCCACCGCTGCCACTGCCTATATGTAAAATAATAATGATGATAACAATAACAATTCTTTGGTATTACTAATTATCTTAGTCAGTGACCAGATTGTTTCAACTACCTCAAAAGGGTTTCCCCCCTTCAGTTTGTT